AAATACATTTAAGGCGCAGCGAAGCACGCCGGGTAATTGCTAGTTAGAAATAAATAATTTTAAATTCATTACTTAAGAATTTTTTAAGACATTAAGTCCACTATCAGAGATGATTTATGAATGAATGAATGAGATGACTTTAAGAATCGAAAACCTGTAAGTCGATTCCGATATCTAGAATCGATTTTATGCGCGCCTTTCCATCAATACTCCTGATTTATTCAAGAAACTCTGTTAATAATTATAGCGGTAATTTAGTACTCACAGCAGCAAATTTACTAGCGCAGTAGTCGACCAGCTTGGTAATGCCTACATGACCGGCCAAAGAGGCGATTGTCGCAATATGTCCACGCTGTTGCTCAATCATCCTTGGTAGAAAGGCTTTAGTAGTCTGCAAAGTCACGAACGAAAACAGTTTATGTTTTTTATGGTAAAAAATATGCATACTAAATAATTCTCGTTCTACTATTTGCATATGTTTTGTAAAAGTAATTGAAAAATTTGACATACCCAGAAATGAGCCATCACATTGACGTTGAAGGATCGCTCGATGAGATGATCGGGTGTGTCCAAAAGATGACGCCCAGACACGACACCGGCATTATTGATTAACAAAGTCACCTAGAATGAGGATGCAGGATACATTTTTGAAAAAGAATGTAGATCACGAATATTGTTGCCTGGGAGAAATGGATTTAGTCTATCGTTGGTTCGAACTAATATTAAATAAACTGAGTTTAAATTGAACAACTGGCTGACATTTGATTGGATGATTTAGTTTAAACCCGCCAGATCGGGCGTTTAGACTGAGTTTAAAGCACGGCTGTGCACTGAAAAGCTGGCTCTTAAGGTCTAAAACCGGCTATGGCAATGTGTGTGTAAATAGCTTTAGTCTGCGTAGAGACATTGTCGGCCCCATGAGTACAAAACCCCGCCTCATCACACACTGATTGGATTCCGGTTTTGAATTATGTCGTTACTTTTTTTTCAAAGCTTCAATAGAGGAAACCAAAGCTTCTTTTGAGCAACTCGCCGAAAACTTTCTATAGCTTTAAGCAACCAGGTGTCATAATGGAACCTTAGCCTCTCTCTAGCTTTTGGGAGGTATCTTCAGATGTTTTCCTGCTACAGGTATAATGGCAACGGGGTTCAATTGGTAGCATGTACAGTAAATACTTAGAAGCTGGACAATTGGCGAAAGGTAGCGCAGAACGTCTTCAAAAACTTTCCAGAATAAGTTGAGGCGGATCTGCATTGCCAAATGCAACATGCTTCAACTGATACCGGAACACTATGGTATTCAAGGTAACAAACTGGCCGAAGAACTGCGGTTCATTAGATATTTAAATTGGATCAGATGCATTGCAGGGCCAAGAATGGCGGTGAATGTCTGGTATATCGGGGATGTACTGAATAGTGATTATGAGAATAAATAGTTTCCTGAAAAGGTCAGACAAGGTCCTCATAGAGACAGAAAAAAAAGCACTGAGTTGGTGCATTTTCGGTTCAGTTATTTTGAGAGTGGAAAAGTTGCATTCTTTTTCACTCGACGAACTAATAAGATTCATCCAGGGGTCTGGTAGACCTTCCATATGAGTTGCACTCTTCTCTTTGTTATATTCTGTTTATTGATTAACAAGCAATCCTGGCAAAGATAGTTGAAAGTATTTTATAAGACAATTGAAAGACATTAGGCAAGATTGTTTGAAAGATTTGGTTTATTCTGGCATGAAAGTCTTACAGAAAATGCTCCATTGGCAACTTTCACGGTGACAAGCTCTTTTGAGAGAAAGTACTAGGTATGTATAGCATTTTGCTTGCGCTGCACCCACAGCCGCAATGGCCAAGTCAGGAAAGCACTGGTGTGCCATTTTCTTGTAATGCTAAGATTTTATTGATTTCAATACAAAAAAAAAAAATTTTTCATTAAATTAAATTTTTTATGTAATTTTTTAAATATTTTTTTTTTTAGTTTAATTTAAATTTTTTTTTATAGTTTATAGGAACAATAACATGTTTTTTTTTTTTAATTATATTCGTTTTAAATTTTGATGTAATTTAAATTT